CCTGCCTGCCTTCCTTTGATTCTCTCTGAACTGCCTGATCTGTTTAATGTCAACCGTTTGTGCAGATAGAATGAAGTACAAAAGATCGCTGATGCTAATGTAGCGTTAGCGTTTCTCCCCCGGGCTTAAATGGTGTATTATAGAATGATCACACCGGTGTGACAGTACTCTTCAAAGGGTTCATGAAATATGACTACTACTCTTACTGTTTAACATTGTGGGTTACTTAATGTTACTTAATGTTAGGGCTAATACAAATGGCAAGGCTAAGGCTGTAATGCTAACTAACGTGCTTGCTACTAGCTAGGTAGCTAACTTGATCCAGCCACTCCTGGTCCTTTCATCAGACGGGAAGCGAAAGAACGCGCGAGACCCATTGCTGGTATGATAACAACCTGGTACTAAGCACACAGGCATCTTGTTAAAGTTATCTTATCTTAGCTATCTCTTATATTTAGCGGAGGAAAACAATTGTGACATCAGTTATGACATCACTTACGGTCTTTCTAGTTATATATTAGTTATATAATCATCCTCCCACTCGGAGTGAAAATTATATATTTTGGGCTTTTTTGTTTTTTTGCTTCTGCCATAATTGCGGTCTTGTGTGTGAGCGGACTGTAACTCCTGTTGTCACGGACAACGTCAGCTAACTAGTGCACTGCCCACCAGCCACGTCCCGACACATGGGGTCACGCCGGCCAATCACAAAGCTTTGATGCGTTCAAGTGCATTATTCTGGCACAGGAAGATTATGTTATAGGACATTAACGATAAAACAGAATATTGTTGTTCTATTTTTAGACACATCTCACGATCGACTGGGAATCTCCCTCCCTCGGTTGGGCACCCCTGCTGTAGAATAACAAAATGAATGCCGTGAATAAACCGAAATACACGTGTTTAAGCGGTTCGCTGCTGATTACTACGCACCGAATATTCGGAGCCCGAAAAATGGTATTCGGGACAGCCCTAATAGCTTGGTTTCACTTGACGTCACACCGCTGCGTTCCTTTGGCGCGAAATTCCATTGGAGGTCAGGAAGTAATTTACTACAGAGGATCTAGCTGCTGTTACCATTGTGAAAATGCCGGTGTGTTGTGTAGTTTACGGTTGATCCAATTGATCCGGCCGAGAGAAAAACAAGAGGTTTTACCGAGTGCCGAAGGTTGTCGTCCATAAAGCTGAGCAATTTAAGAAGCTAACCGAAGAACGCCGGAAAAATGGCTTTCAAACCTACATCTGCGGTCAGGAGGAGCAGAGTCGTCTAATGCACGTGTCTGCAGTGACCACTTCATCAGAGGTATTAGCTAACTTGTTTTTTGTGGCTTTGTTTATGTATTATTGGGTTGTGGTTAAATGCTTATTTACCTAGTAATACTGATCATGTTTAAGTTACCTGTAGTCTAATATGGACTTTGTTGGGACTTTTTAGGGTGCCCTAGCGCTTTGGGTGACGTTGAGTCGGTAGACTGAGCTCCCACTGTTAGTCTCGGTTACTATGGCGTTATATTTGTGCCTCTATCCTGAGCACGCAATGAAACATGTTGAGCATAGAAAATGCGATTGAGCGCGCACTTGAACATTTTTGAGCACAGAGAAATATATTTTCTCTCATAAAACTCCTGCTCCGTGCGCAAGCAGACCGCTGCACGCGCTCTCTCTCCCCCGCTCGCTCGACCTCTCCAGCCTGTGCGCGCTCTGCTTTGCCTGCGCTCGCTCAAGTTGTCACAGCGTTACAAATGTGCCACAAAACCAACCAATCGGAGAACTCGAGAAGGTCAATTCTGATTGGCTGGTCCAGCGCCATGTAGAGAGAAGAGTTGCTACAGCGGAAGTCCAAAATGCTTGATCGTCACGTGGTTCAGAGAGACTCAGAAAGTTCCCGGAAGTTCGTGGCGGGCCATTTGAATCACGATTTGAATGCATTAATAACAGGATAGAAATGCAATTTTTGGTTATTAGTGGTCAATAAATGTTTTGATTTGCAATATTTATACAACATATCGATATGTGTATGTAGTTACATCAATGTGTGTGTGTTTTTTTTTTTTAAATGTGCTAATATTTGAGCATTAAGATAAAATAAGAAGTAGCCTACTTTATTGATACCAATTGGGGAAATGTTTACGCTGCAGCAGCAAAAGACAAGGAGGCATTGTACATTAGACGGTTAAAAGACTATAATTAAACAATCGAAAATGTAAACATCTTAAATAGAAATAACATAGCATTACAACGTAGAAAGTAGAAAATATACATAGTGTGAACAGCTATCTTACCTGTTAACATACATGTTAGGCTAACGTTGCCTTGGTTAAAGAGCCTGTTGTTTATTGCTTTGAATTCTTTAAAACAAATATTATCTTCTTAAACCTGTATGGTAGTCAGGAGCATCACATCCTAATGTTTGATATATTTAGAGGGTGGGAAGGAAGGTTTAAAAATTCTGATTAGATACATTTCTACCATTTCTTTAATTCATGGTGGTTTTAGTAATCCCTTGGTAATTGAGGACACAAGTCATCTAAAGTACTAATGTAATCTTTATGACTTTCAGAAAGGACAGGAGACCCACAGGTGCCTATATCAATGATTGTCAACTGACAGCAAAATGAGTCAAAGGGCTAGCAGCAGCATGATGATGATGTTAAATGTGTTGTTTTAGGAACATCCATTGTAAATAAATGGAATTCAATAAACATTGAATAGCATATCATGCCGTTTGTCTGTGCCTTTTCCTCTGTGTTGTCCTGGCATATCGTCTCCCCCATGGTTTGCTGTGCTGCCTGGGGATGCTCCAAGCGCTCAGAGAAAGGAGTATGAATGTAAAGTGTCCCCACTGACACAGAGAGGAGGAAAGAATGGCTGGCTCAAGTCAGCAGGAGCAATTTAACTATCACAAAAGACAACAACAACATATGTGAGGTAATCATATTTTTCACAAAACGAAGACCACACCATTGGGAAGCTTAACGTCTGTTTAATCAAAAATAAGGAACAGGGAGAGGCTTGCAAAACTTTGGGAGTTGAGACTCAGGTGCAGGGTGAGGGTCTCATTGCAGGTCTTCAGGCTCCATTGAATCCCCCTGAGGTTCTTGTGCTGAGAGAGGGAGACAGGAGAAAGGGTTAGATACATCAAGCAATAGGGTGGGAAATTGCTGACCTATTTTAAACTTACCTTGTGTTTTCACTCTCACTTAAGTCCCTCTCCCTTTGCCATCAATCCAAAATCAGCTGAGCTGCAACATAATACAGACAGGTAATAATCAACAGAATCACAAGGACATTATATGGCTCTGCTAAAAACACTCACCCATAAGTTACGTTTTTGTTTACTGTTTAGAAGTCTCAAATATCCACTCTAAATCCATATCAATAGCGATGTATCACACAAATAGCTCTCTTCCTTATTATTGTGTAACGTTAACTATATTATACTAGCTTGAACTCCAAGATGGATATCCTCATTTCTCCACCCACTACAATCACACGCCCCAATGTTATATTTAACTAATATGTAACTCCCTCCACCCCGGATAAAAGCACGTTAAGAAGCCCCTTTTCTCTAATTCCACAACGTTGGAAGAAATAACATTAAGAGAACGGATTAATAGGCTGTTCATGGTTAACGTGTGTTGTTGCTAACTTTAGCCGGTATCCTAGCCTCATCTGTCCGGTTGAAAATTAACGCAAGCATATGCCCATTGTAGAACAGGAAACAGAAGTTGGTCCAGGTTCTGGTCAACCCAACATTGTGATAGAGAGAGAAACATGTTTTGTCATTCTGCCACCTCTATGCTTACAGCAAGTAATCAATACCTCAGAAGGGTTCATGTAGCTACATGTATGCTACGGTTTGTTAGCGGTTTGCTTAAACTACCCCTATTCTTTCACACACAGTGACGTCACGAGCTACCCACAATGCAACGTGCGCCATATATCTATATAGAAATACGCCATTTTCCTGGAGGTGCTAATATCCTGGAGGTGCTAATATAAACAGCTAGGTAATGTAGCCAGGCAGAGCGCACTAGGTTTTTTTTCTGAATTAACGACCGAAGAAATCGCTGCATGTCTTCGGATTACATCTCTGGACTTGAGGGGTGTGCTCTAGGTCGTTACCAGCGTAAACTAGAGCTGTGTGGGTTGTCCGATTGCCTTTACAGACTGCCTGCAGATGTATGGAAAAACGACTCTCGAAAGTGGCCTTCGGTCGATTTTGGCAGCATCTACGTCTATCTTCTGGAAACAACAGGTGAATACCCCACTTGTCACAATAATATTATCATGCCAATGCATATATGTGATATTTTAGAGTTGACTAGATATTGATCAAGGCAATAGACTATGATATTCTGCTTGCACCTCGTGTGAAATGGTGGATACCGGAAGTACGGTGTCGCCCTCGGCCCAAAACCCGTATGTGTGTGTGAAAGAATAGCTATGTTGTCGGCTAGCAAACTCAGGCATTGCAAACAATAACGTGATATCAGAAAACTAGAAATGTATTACTCACCTGACACTGTGTCGTGCTATTCTCTTCATTCGAGTCTGTCATGTCCTGTAAATGTCAACGATAGATGTGTAATAAGAACGTCAACAGCCTGATGGTAACCGAAAATCCCTCTCTCATCTCAGATAGAAGATATGATTGGAGACGACCAGCCAATCAGAATTGACCTTCCCGAGTTCTCCGATTGGTTGGTTTTGTGGCACATTTGTAACGCTGTGACAACTTGAGCGAGCGCAGGCAAAGCTGAGCGCGCACAGGCTGGAGAGGTCAAGTGAGCGGGGGAGAGAGAGCGCGTGCAGCGGTCTGCTTGCGCACGGAGCAGGAGTTTTATGAGAGAAAATATATTTCTCTGTGCTCAAAAATGTTCAAGTGCGCGCTCAATCGCATTTTCTATGCTCAACATGTTTCATTGTGTGCTCAGGATAGAGGCAATATAACGCATAGGTTACCACACAACAAGTAAGCCCAGATCAGAGGCATCTCTTTGACGAGAGCAGAGGATGGAGCTCAAGGAAGACCAACAAAGACAATCAGAATGTGCAGAGGCTTTGTTGGATCTCCTGCAGACAACCGAGAGCCCAGAACCGACACAGCCCCCGTCTGACAGCCCACAACCAGAGGACACCAGTGGGATATTAAATGACCAACAAGGTAAATTAACCACCAGCATTATTATTAAATATTACAAATGTGATTGTCAAAAAATCAATGCAAACTTTGAATTAGGTTTAGAAAATAGAGTACTAACTTGAGAATCTGCAATAATTGGAACAGAGAACTTGCATGTCTGTAAAAAGGTTGTCAAAAAGATAACTTCACAACAATTCACATTCATATTTGACTATTTTAAATAACTAATTATGCTTGCTACTGCTATATTGTATGCAGATGCAGGATGCCAGACTGATTTAACGATGGAGGACATCGAGAGCATGGAGGATGTTCTGAGACAGAACACAACAGAGCTGGGAGATCTTCGGACAAAGGCACTGGACACAAAGTTCAACCAGGAGTCCTTTGAGAACAACGAAGAGAAGACAAAGTTTTACACCGGGCTCCCCAACTTCTTAGTTTTACTTCAGGTTTTTCAACTGTGCGAGCCCTACATCACCTGTGGCCCTATGTCTGTGCTCTCCAAATTTGAACAGTTCATTTTAGTTTTGCTGAGGCTGAGACTAAATCTTTTACTGTGCTTCACTAAAGATACCTGCATTCACCGGGGGGAAAAGTCAGCTGTCAGCATACGAGGTGGAAGAGACAAGAAAAATAGCTAATGTGCATATTCATGTCAAAAGAGTCGTAGGATTAGTCAGAAGAAAATATCAGATTCTGCAAAGCATAGAGCACATGCTAACAAAACCAGGTGAGGCACTAGCATTAATTGACAAGATTGGGGTTATTTGCTGTGCCTTGTCTAATCTGTCAGTGTCTGTCGTCCCATTGGAGTAAAGTCATGGAGCTGTAGTCTTGTAAATAAGAAACCATGTATTATTCAGTATCATTTCATCTTTTCAGTAAACATATTTTTGTGTTCAAACATCTTGTGTTCAAGTCTTTTCAGTAAACATATTTTTGTGTGTTGTAAATTGTGTAGCCCTACTCAATATACAACTTTCATCTACATTCATGATTAATTCAACAATATTCTAGAGATGACAATTGGTCTGGTGACGCTCCCATGTATGGCCAATGAGGTTATTGTAAATGTAAATAAGAAACCATGTATTATTCAGTCTTCTTAGTATCATTTAATCTTTTCAGTAAACATCTTTTTTACAATAGCAATATATCACACAGCCCTACTTCCTCTAGTGAGTGTGGTCAGTGAATATGAAGGTTAAAGAGCTGCCACTGTGCAAATAATAATGCAACAAGAAGAGAACCACAACTTCCGGGACCAGGACAGACTACAGGTGCTGGTAATCACGCCTTCTCTCCCTCCTGATCATCTTGCAACTGAAACTGAAAAATGGAACAGCAGACAGGGAGAGGAGGCTTTTAGTCACCTGATAGTTATGCACTATCATGTTCTTGTGGAAAAAAATGAGCACACCAACTCTTTATTACTTTTACCTTTCCCCTTGTAAGTTGCTGTCCCAACACTTCAGGGAGAACAGTCTGAAGAAACTCTCAACTCTGGGAATTATGTTGTCCCACAGGTCCACATCACGCACAATTCTCTCTACAAAGAGGTCATTTTTAGTCCAGACAACAAAGTCGCAGTAGTCAACGTCAACGACGTGGAGCTGAGCCTGTACTTGATGGTAGTAGGCATGTTACATTACATTACATTGCATTTAGCTGACGCTTTTATCCAATGCGACTTACAATAAGTGCGTTCGTCCAACAAAATACAACTTGAAGAAAACAGAATCATAAAAGTACATCAGGTTTCATAGAACAAAAACATTTCAAGTGCTACTCAACTGGCTTTAGAAAAGCCAGTCCTTTATTAGTATAAAAGTGCTTCGTTAATAGTTCTATCGCTCGAAGTGGAGTCGAAAGAAATGAGTTTTCAGTTTGCGCCGGAAGATGTGCAAGCTATCTGCCGTCCTGATGTCAATGGGGAGCTCATTCCACCATCCTGGAGCCAGGACAGCAAACCCACGTGTTTTCGCCGTTGGGAACTTGGGTCCCCCTCGCAGCGAGGGCGCAGCGAGTCGTTTGGCTGATGCAGAGCGTAGTGCACGCGCTGGGGTGTACGGTTTAACCATGTCCTGGATGTAGGAAGGGCCAGATCCATTCGCAGCATGGTAAGCAAGTACCAGTGTCTTTAAGTGGATTCTAGCAGTTACCGGAAGCCAGTGAAGCGAGCGTAGGAGCGGAGTAGTGTGGGAACATTTAGGAAGGTTGAAGACCAGACGAGCCGCTGCATTCTGGATGAGCTGCAGAGGTCGGATGGCACATGCAGGTAGACCAGCCAGGAGGGAGTTGCAGTAGTCTAGATGTGAGATGACGAGAGCCTGGACCAGAACCTGAGTCGCTTTCTGTGTCAGCTGGGGACGTATCTTCCTGATGTTGTAAAGCGTGTATCTGCAGCAACGGGTTGTAGCAGCGATGTTTGCAGTGAAGGACAGGTTGTTATCTAGGGTCACACCCAGATTCCTTGCAGTCTGAGTCGGGGAAACAACTGAGGTGCCGATGTTGATTGTTAGGTCAAGAGTGGGACAATCTTTTCCCGGAAGGAAGAGCAGCTCAGTCTTGTCAAGGTTGAGTTTGAGGTGATGAGCAGACGTCCACTGAGAGATGTCAGCTAGACAAGCAGAGATGCGTGCGACAACCTGGGTCTCTGAGCGGGGAAAGGACAGAATTAATTGGGTGTCATCAGCGTAGCAGTGGTAAGAAAAACCATGCGGGCTAATGACTGATCCGAGCGAGTTTGTGTACAGGGAGAAGAGGAGGGGACCAAGAACAGAGCCCTGAGGGACCCTGTAGTTAATTGACAAGGGTCGGACTCAGACCCTCTCCAAGTCACCCTGTAGGTACGGTCTTTCAGGTATGAGGTGAGGAGGGAAAGTGCAGAGCCTGAAACTCCAAGTTTTTGGAGAGTGCGAAGGAGGATCTGATGATTCACCGTGTCGAATGCAGCAGACAGGTCCAACAGGATGATGACAGAGGAGAGGGATGCAGTTTTGGCAGTGTGCAGTTCCTCCGTGACAGCAATGAGAGCAGTTTCTGTGGAGTGACCTGCCTTGAAACCAGACTGGTGCGGATCCAGAAGGTTGTTCTGATTGAGATAACAGGAGAGTTGTTTAAAGACAGCGCGTTCAAGTGATTTAGACAGGAACGGGAGGAGAGAGACAGGCCTGTAGTTTATAACATCAGACGGGTTGAGAGTGGGTTTCTTTAGAAGAGGGTTTACTCTTGCCTCCTTGAGACTGTTTGGAAAGTGACCAGAAGTTAGAGTAGTGTTGATGAAATGGGTGAGAAACGGTAGAATATCAGGAGCGATAGTCTGAAGGAGGTTTGAAGGGATAGGGTCCAGAGGACAGGTGGTAGGGCGGGCAGAGGTAATGAGGGTAAGAACCTCACTTGGAGAGAGAGGGGAAAAGGAGGTAAGTGTGTTGGTGGAAGGAGGGTCTGGTGACCCAGCGGTGAGTAAGAAAAAGAAGAGCGAATATCATCAACCTTTTTTTCAAAGTGGGTAACAAAGTCGCTTGACAGAAGTGCGGAGGGGGGAGGAGCTTTTGGAGCGTCCAAGAGGGTGGAGAAGATGGAAAATAGTTTTTTAGGATTGGAATAGGAAGATTGGATCTTATCTTGAAAGAAAGTGCTTTTTGCCTGAGAGATCGAAGCAGAGAAAGAGGAGAGGAGAGCTTGATAGGTTAGGAGGTCGTCACGGTGTTTGGATTTCCACCATTTCCGCTCTGCTGCCCTAAGGAAGGTGCTATTAGCACGCAGTGCATCATTTAGCCAGGGAGCAGGAGGGGACTGACGAGCCTGCCGAGATGTGAGAGGACAGAGCGAGTCCAGAGAGGATGAGAGAGTAGAGAGGATGAGAGAGTAGAGAGGAGAGTTTCTGCAGCAGAGTTTGGAGGCAGGAGTTGGAACGAGTCAGAGGAAGGGAGGGCTGAGAGCACCGACGAGGCAAAGGTAGAGGGGGAGAGGGAGCGAAGGTTACGGCGGACAAGTGCAGGATGAGAAGAGATTAGTTTGTTATGTTTGGAAAGGGATAGAGAGAATGAAATGAAGAAGTGATCGGATGTGTGGAGCGGGTTTACAGAGAGGTTAGAAGTAGCGCAGTTCCTTGAGAATATGAGATCAAGGACATTGCCAGCTTTATGAGTCGGTGGGGACGGAGACAGTGAGAAAGCAAAGGCGGTTAACAGAGATGTTAGTTCGTCTATCTTCCCCGTCTGGAGGTTGAAGTCTCCGAGAAGTACAGCGGGAGGGCCAGTTTCAGGGATGTGTGAGAGGAGATTATCTAATTCCTCCAAGAAGTCCCCCAAGGCGCCTGGTGGACGGTAGAGAACAACAATGGTTAGCTGTATAGGATGGGTTACTGTGACGGCATGGAATTCAAAGGTGGAAGGAGTGAAGTTAGGTAGCTTGAAGAGGGAAAAGCTCCATTTGGGAGAGAGCAGGAGACAAGTGCCACCTCCTCTGCCAGTTGGTCTGGGTGTATGGGAGAAGGAATATGCAGTGGAGAGAGCTGCTGGGGTGGATGTGTTGGATGGAGTAATCCAGGTCTCAGTGAGAGCAAGGTAATCCAGAGACTGCAGGGAGGCGTAGCCAGAGATGAAGTCAGCCTTAGGAACAGCTGACTGGCAGTTCCACAGGCCACCTGAAACTAGATGTTGGATCTCAGTGGAGCATGTGGGATAGACGAGAGCAGGCCGGTTATATCGATTACGAGATACACAGGGCCAGTGATTATTGCGAGAAGACACATGAACAGGAATGGAGAAAATACACATGATTATAGCATGAGGGGCTAAACAACCAAATAAAATGAAACAAAATAAAAAACACCAGCGATACTTAGCTCAATCAAAGTAGGATTTGCCTCCTCTTTGCCTCCCTCGTGACTCCCACAGGACTCTAATGTCTTTGCCAGTCTTTGACTCCCACAGGACTCTAATGTCTTTGCCAGTCTTTGACTCCCACAGGACTCTAATGTCTTTGCCAGTCTTTGTCTGACGCTCCAGGAAAGTGCTACCTAAAATGGACACCTGATTGCTGAGTTCTCACAGCTGTGGGGCAACGTCCTTTTAATTAGTTAACTCTCTGCAGCTGGTGGCCCTCAAAAGGAAATCTAGACTGGCTTCGTCCTGATTTCTTATTGTCTTTTAAGTCAATTACATTAAACCCTAAGTTATAAAGTTCTGAGTTTAACCCTTAATACAGTTACACCTACTCAATAAAGCTCTTAGTATTCTACAAATGTTTAAATCAAAGTTAACCCTAGTAGGCAGTTAGATCACTTTTAAGGTTTCAGTCAAATGACTTTTCCCAAGTTTCTGTCTGACAGATGCTGTAGCGGTTTTGAGTTTTTAAAAACACAATTCCAGTCAGATCAACTACAGAGCATTGATACAGAGTACACACACTGAAACAGAGAAGTCTACAAACAGTGTTACTCACACAATTCTAGAAGTCTCCAGTAGCTTTCTTGTCAAAAACTAGTTGCACACTGCATGTCTCCTGTCCAGCTTCACAGTGCCCCCATCGTTGACGAGACAGAAGCCCTGTTCTCCAGCACACAGGCGAAGATTGGCCTCCTCTTATTTGCTGTGTGGGCACTAAAAGTTCAATGAAAAGAAAAGCAATATATTGTACTGTAAATAAGTGTCTGCAGCTCAAAATGTATTGGGAGAGGATCCCCAGACTCAGGATCACGTCACAATCCTATACTTACCCGCTTTACTGTAGCACAATACTGAACAAATAACTTACCTTTATCTCACAGATACCAGTTCCATGGCAGGTGCACGTGACACAACCGTCTGGCGACGCTCCCATGTATGGCCATTGAGGGTTCAGCCAAAGCCCGCTGTCTTTACAGCTGAAACCCTGGTGGTGCAGACTTTGTACTCCTTCATACTGCTTTCGGGCAGTTGCCTCGTATTTGCATCCATACCTGTAATGTATACAACAAGGAACAGAAATAGAACATTGTACATTATAAAACGGACAAGTCAAATCAAGCAATCTGATTGGTTCTTAGCCGTGATATAATCAGCGTATACCACGGGTAGAATTGTAAGTTACTTTTCACAACAAGTTGGTATCCCTCCGCGTCTGAGAAAAACTGTATACAGTTGCGTTGAAAAGCAAACTGCCTGCAATTTGCTTTTCAAACTGGAACAAGGAAGCAGCGGAGAAGTAACGGGGCAGAAACCCTCCTTTTTACGCAGCGGCCCAGATGCTTCGCGTCGGGCCGAACCACGCCCCTTAGCTGTGATATAATGAACAAATACCACGGCCTGTCGTGAGCTATTGCTTAATTATACCATGGTCTGGGTGAATACTCCATTCTGATTGGCTCCCTAATCCCCAATAAATACCTTGTTGCAGCTGTAGAGAACTTGTGTGCCTCTGGGTAGCATATGGACTTGATCAAGGACTTTGATGGCTGTGCAAGACTAGTCTGTAGAACCTGCTTCAGTCTTGAGGCTGTGATCCTTCCTGCTCTTTGGCTAAACCATATTGGTGATAAGCTCTGGTTTCTGGTCTCCTCCTCTACTGCCTGGACCTGTGGCTGTGTCAGCTCTTCCTGTCTGAAGTCCTGGCATGCATTCTGCAACTCTGTTGGGGATAGCTGTAGTATATCTGGTGTCCTATACTGAGGTAGTGGTTTAGGTAGCTTGCTCACAGATTTAGGGACAAATTCTTTGTAATATGGTTCCCTGGACATCAGTGCAGCACTTTTTGGGGAATTTCTGCTCAAAGTCTTGAAAAACTGCATATACCTTTCTGATCCTCGTTCCAATTTTGAACCCTGGACTGTGGGACGCTGAAATGTGTGCTTCTCACCTGTCCTTCCAGCAATGGCATCATCCAGTTTTTGCTTTTTGGATTTTGCGGATGAAAAGTCTATCATCGCAACTGGAGCAGCAGGAATCTGGACATGTGAGAGACAGACCAACATGTATGTGAACATACATGTAGGTGCAGTGTAACAATGAGACAGGCAAGGACGGCATGAACAGCTGACTGACCACTGGGGTCTGAATACCTTTTTGACATGTGATGGCATTAGCCACTTGCACTTCTCAGTGGTGCAGGATGCAGTCTCTCTCATCTTCACACCTGCTTCGATTGCAAACAGAACTGCTCCAACATGTGAGCAGGATTCTGACAAACTGTATAGACAGAGACATACTAGAATAACTAGATTGATCGTAAAAGCTAGTAATGGTATAACATGAATATTATAGCAGGCATTATTTTGTCTGAGCTTAAGTGTTGTGTCAAATATGCTTTGGGTTGGGATATTTATTTTATGACTTACCCAGCCATACAGTTACAGTGTGCTGTAACAACCTCTCCATCTTCTTTAGCTACAATCCACGTTTTTAAAATGGTGTTTCTCCAGACCTCTGGGAATGGTTGACCTACAAAATTGAAGCTCCAGTTAACAACTTGCTAGTTAGTAACATACATTTAACAACATCAAGCCATAGCTAGCTAGTATAGTTAAGTTACGTCCCCAGCTCGTTTCGGGGTAAAGGGAAGCAACACATAACCAGATGGTCTTGGTAAAGAGGTTGTTTTTAATATTAACCTCAACATAGAGTGATATAAACAACGTGCAGGCTGTTCAAAGGCTCTGAGCTGTCTATACACAACAGTACACAAAAACGAAGGCCACAGAATATCACAGTCACGAATCAGGACACTTAAGACAGAACTGGTGAGACGTTTCGCACAAGTACAACGCCGTCACCAAAACACAATATATCCTAAGCTAAACACATACACTCACATCAATATCCTAAGTACACACACACACACACACACACCCACACCCACACCCACACACACACACACAATAAGCGCCCGAGTTAACCTCTGTTAACAATATCGTAAGGAAACACACATCATAAGCACCCGAGTTAACCTCTGTTAACAATATTGTAAGGACACACACATAAGCACCAATAACAAACATTCTGAGGTATGGTAGCATGGCGTCCTAGCACAGATCCAGCGCCCCGAATGTCAACAACGTCGCAGCTTAAGTAGCGTCATCAAGAGGAACGAAACAACGTCGCCGACGCGGTAACCATAGTACCTACATAATACACATTTATATATATACACACACACACAGAACACTCACAGGCCAGTTAATGCTGAAGGCAAGGCGACAGCCATAACACTGCCTTACATGAGTCCATGTAGCTAAAGTTAGCTAGCTAGATGTCTCCTAATAATGCTACTTAGAGGTAAGAAGGTATAGGTAGTTAACACTCACCCGGGCAAAAACAAGGCGACATTTGTTTAATGCCTTTTTGCTTGCCGAGGTCATTCACCCATCCACACACGAAGTAGTTGAAAGCTTCCAGGCTTTTATACGCTTTCATTTGGCTAGCCGTGTAGTAGGAGGTATGAAGGACGAGGTAGCTGGTGATATCCATCGCCTCGACAGCGGGCAAATCTGATAAATCACGAGAAAAGTCGCTCTTTTTCAGCTGATACGGATCGTATCCGATGTGTGCTGTGATTTTTTCACGATATATGCGGCGTGCAGGTTCATTTAATTGTTTGACATAGTCGGTGTCCTCCATGATTCCTGCGTTGATGAATGATTGCGTTTTCACTTCCTGACCTCCACTTGAATTTCGCGCGTCGTAGAAGTCACGTGACTGAAACCAAGCTATAGCTGCACCCTAAAAAGAGTTAACTGATTGAATTATGACTGAAGATCATCAGCTGTCTTCCTCTTCTGTGTTTTTTCTCCAATACGTAAAGGCTGCAGCACCTTTGACAACTCCTCTCCACATATCAAACATACGGTAAGCCAGCATAGTTTGCTGTGAAAGCATATAACTCTAACCACGCAGAATTAAACCCTCTGTGTTCCTCTGATACTTTTCTTTTCTTTGATTTATCCATAGTTCGCTCATCGAGCCGGGGGTCAGGTTATTCACCTGCGGGACCGTAGCAGGATATGACGCATATTTTAGTTGACCTAATTAAAACCGTTTTTTATTTATGTGCCACAGTAAATCACCTCAAAATACGAAACATTTTCAACTGTGCAACAAAATATAAATAGTCCTACAAATATTTTTATTTTATTTCCTTCTTATTTTTGTCTAAGCTCAAGGGAGCCAGAGCAGAGGGCTTAAAGAGCCGCATGCGGCTCGAGAGCCGCGGGTTGTCGACCCCTGCCCTAGTAGGACAGTATAATGAGTTCTTTAAGGTAAAATGGCGCCTGCCCATTAAGGGCTTTGTAGGTGTTACCGGCACCAGACATAGGGGTAATCTGGACCAGCAGCAGGGTTACACAGGCTAAGGAGCACATCAATGACATACAGTTCAGTCACATTATGTCAAGGCTCTCAGTTAAAATGCATGATAAATTCATATCAAACCGTCTTACAGACAAAACATATAAAAAGTATAAAACATTCTGCCTAAATAAGAAATACATGCATATGAATTAAAATGATTTAACATATTCCATATAAACAATAATTGGCACCAAAATAATATAACTGAAAAACACACACTCACTTAAGTTAAGCCCCGAGCCTGTTTTTCAGGTCTCAGGCTCGAAAATGACATTCCCAGAACCCTTCTAAAAGGGTTAAATTAATAATCTTTTTTCTCAAAGCAAGATTACACCTGTGAGTTGGATGTAGAAGTGTCAGAATCAATATAGATGTTTTTATTTTAAAGTAAATTCAGATTGAACACAGTAAAAAAAAATGTAAATGATTGTGTCCGTCCAAAAAAAAGAAATTACTTATAGTGAAAACCACCCTTGAATGATGGGATGGTAGACTAAAAGCTTTAGGAATCCAAACTACAACATATAATAAGTACCCTGTATCAAGATTGATGCAAAACAAGTGAAATGTGATCTTTTTAGAGAGATTTAGCAGAAAAAAACCCACTTCTGGGGTCATTTGGGTGGATTTTCCATATCTCTGGCCCCCCTTGGTCGGTTTTACTGATTGACATCTCTTTCTAACCGTCAGAGCCAATGGAATCGAGGGGAACTCCCACATACTCCTTATTTGGTAATATGTGTGTGTGAGACTGCCGCATAGCCAAGACCGGAAGCTGCGATAACTCTGGTGGCTACCATTAGCAGCTAACTTTTACTCTCCGATTTTTACATAAAAATGTAATTATGGATTAAAAATTAAAAAAAATTCCCAGAAACATTATCAACCTATGGATTAACCGATTCAGCCACGTTTTTTCTCGTTTTAATGCCATTGAACCAGTCTTTTGATCAGATTGACAGCTACGGTGAGACGAACTCCCGTAAAAGCTCCCTAAAGGTACGTGTTGTGATGTCTGTGTTTGCTTCCCCTGTCAAGAGTTCGGATCACTCAGTGATGATATATATACCTAAATAATCTGTGGAACCTCAGCTTTAATCGGATATCTTGTATGTGCAGCTACGATAAGTAATAAGGGTATATTTTATCTTGAGTTCTGTGCCAAAGTGCGTTAGCATTTTTCGCTCAGGGGTCATTTAGATGCTTCTTATGAGACTTGTGTTTTGTTTTGGTAAAAATGGTTTGTATCGTCAGTTAGCTGAGATGATTCCCGTTAATCTGGTATAACACATTAA